CACTCGGCTGGCCCCGAGAACTGACCATTAAGAGAGTGGATGTTTTTTTACACCATTCCCATCTGGTCTGGGCTGCTTCTTCACTCTTACAAATGCCTTAGCTTTTCCAGTCCTTTTATTATTGTCCTTGAGGCTTCGTTCCCTCACCCGTGTGTTTCGTAGAATGAGTGCAGATGAGAGGAAAGGAGAAGTTGAATGGTTGCTTTGCCATCTGTGGTGTGGTCACATTTTCTCTCCAGGGTGGAGCTTTCTCAGGTCTGTCCATCGGCTTGCTCAGCCTCTTGCTTGTTTGGCTCTTTTAGCTCACACTGCGCAGTCTTGCTCTGGGCAGTCTGCTCACAGTTCCATGAAGCGCCCTAGAGAACGGTGCTCTGTGTTGAGAGTGGGGTCTGGAACCAGGCTCTCGTGGGTTACGGCCTGGCTCTGTGCTGCTTCCTCTCTGTGTGACCTTGGCACATGATCGAACCCTCTTCATTCACCTCATGTGAAATGGAGATGACACACCTCAGGGGGTTGGGAGGGTCAGCTGGACTGACACATGTAACATGCTTGGAATGGTGCTTGGCACATGATGTCTAATCAATAATTGTTAGTTATAGAACTAGATGAACTAGCAATCCCTCTCTGGGTTTGTACCCAAAAGAAGTGAAGTCAGAACCTCAAAGAGCTCTCCATGCTCCCATGTTCATTGCAGCACTATTCACAATAGCCAAGAGACGGAAAGAACCTAAGCGTCTGTGGATAGATGAATGAATAAAGGCATTGTGGTATATACATACAGTGGAATATTATTCAGCCTCAGAAGAGATCTTGCCATTTGCAATCATATGGGTCAACCTGGAAGACAGTATATTCAGTGAAAGAAGCCAGACACAGCAAGAAAAATACTGCATGATCTCACTGATATGTGGAATCTAAAAAAGTCGAATTCATAGGAGCAGAAAGGAAAACAGTAGTTACCAGGGGTAGGGAGGTGGGGAAAATGGGGAGATGATGGTCAAAGGGTGAAAAGTTGTAGCTATGTGAGATGAATAAGTTCTAGAGATCTATTGTACTATAGTTAATGATGATTACAGTTAATACTGTGTCAAATACTAAAAATTTGCTAAGAATAGCTCTCAGTGCCTCTCATTACATATACACACGCAAAGAGAGCTATGAGGAAATGGATACCTCAATTAGCTTGACTGTAGTAATCATTTCACTCTGTATAGCAAAGCATCATGTGTGTGTTAAACATATGCAATTCTTGTTGAGAAGAGCAAACAAAAAAAACCAAAGTTACAATCTATAATGAAACAAAAAACATACGACACTGAGGAATACACTTAACAGAAAACATATAAGAAAAAGAAATTACTGAGAAAATGATACAATTTATTAATAGATAATGAAGAAGACCTAAATGAATATATCATGTCTGTGGATGAAAAAACAGTAAGTGTTGGTTATTATTAGCATTTTTATAGTGTGTTTGTCCTTGATGTCCTTCACCCTGTCCTCTTTCTTGCATATCCCTCTAAGATTTTCCTCAATCTGAGAGTTATCTGAGTTGTTCCATTTGATTTTTGTAGATACTCTGTGACTTTTTTATGTTTTCTTTTAACTAGAGCGCCTTTCATTTATAATGTGACATAAATCAGTGGTTACTACAAATGTGTGCTCCTGTTTTATTCAAAACTGTTTATATATGGATATTTACATAGTCCTTAATGGTACGTAATCATAGAGCATTGATTTAATGTTGTATTTAATTCATCATATTTGTAACCACCTCCTTTGGGTCATTCATTCTTTTAGAATGCCAAATACTGAGACCGAATTCTGCACTTTCAACTGAAGCTAATTTCCCCCTTGTCTTCACCACACCAGGTGGCAGTATTGTACTAAAGGTGTTTAGGAAAGGGGTTTGCTTCTCTAGAGTCTAGTTGGAAAACCTGCTCCATTACACAAGCTGATAGAGCTGTAAGACAGTGGATGATCATTAGTCCTGTTCTGCTGCGCTCTGGCATAACAAAATAAAAGGACATTGTGCAGCACTGGCACCTCGAGGCTCTCTGTCTGGCAGAGACAGGGAACATAGTACAGACATGGTGACTCCCAGAGAGAGAACAGAGCGAGAGGGATGTAGGGGAGAGAGGCTGAGCCAGAGAAGAGGGGAGTGATGATAGACAGAGCCTGTGCATGGCCGTAAGACATCGTCAGCGTCTTAAGACATTTCCTATGGCATTCTTTTCACAATTTTTACTTTGGAGTGGGGATGGGGGGTGGGGGGAAGCATTACCAGGGGCTCAGCATGGGGGAACATTTCTGTAAAATTTAGTGTTTTATGTTGAAAAAAAATCATGTAAGTTTGCATGCTATGACATTATACTGCCACATTTCTCAACTCAAAATATTGATCCAAAATATTTATTCTTCTCCAAAGATCTTGGATTAAAATTGAACTTCTGAAATGTTTATGTAACTCCCAGTATGTCACCACATATCCTTAGGTTACATGTGTACAATTCTATGGGGATGCCAAACAATTCAGAGAGACTTTCTGGGGATTTGAAGGTCCTACAATTGCAAGTGATGGTAGAAGGCAGCACAACAGATCACAGGAGGATGCTGCTTGCAGGTGCTGCTGAAGTGGTTAGAGATTTTTAGTGAAGATGCTTTCACTGGGCAAAGGGAGACAGTGAGAACCTATCACAGCAGGGCTAGCCAGGACTACGTATATGGTTGCCAGGCCGAGAAACTCACAGGAACCGGCTGATAGAAAGGATAATGGTGGTGGTGGCGGTGATGGTTAGTAGCAGAGGTTGCGGTGGTAGTAATAGCAGAGGTAGTATTTTGTTCAAGAAGCAGGAGAATCACATGGAATTCAGTTGTACATTGGCCTTCACAGAAATAGGGAAAATACTGGCAGCTAGTCTCTCTGCTTTACCTTTTTTGGTTTGAATGGTCTCTTATTTCTACATGCTGCTTTCTACATGTCTATTCCATTCTCTTTTGAGAAAACAAATTTATTTTCAGTAAAACTCTTTAATTTCTGCCTCTTAGTACCACGACATGGTCCCACAGACTTAGTGCCCAGTGCAACATGATTCAGACTCTGTGTCTCAAATCCTAATAGCTGGGAGGAAGAATCCAACTGGACCAGGTTGGGTCAGCTGTCCAGTGTTGATCCAGTCCGCTGTGGCCAGTGGGAAGGGCTGTGCTGGGCTCCCCTACAGGATGGGCAGGTGTTCACTGGGCGTGGGGGAGGGGAGCCACAGAGGAAATGATGGAAATTTCTGGCACAAGATTTGGGCTTAAAGAGAAGTGGCCATCTGTGAGGTGAGGGTGGTAGAACTTGATAACTGATAGGATCTGAGCTTTTCCACTTTGGGAGACATGGTAGAGAGTGAACTTGAATTGTTTTCGTGAATGAACAAATGTTTAATCTGACTTCAGACTTCATGAAGTCACATTACTAGATTGAAGTTAAATTAGGATACGTTTGGCTCTGCCATTATTTGAGTGACCTTTAGCAAAGCCATCTTTTATTTATTTATTTTTTTTGGTTTATTTCCTCATTTGTATATGGGGATTAAACATACCTGCTCTGTCACATAGGGTTGTTGTGATTAAAGAGCTAATAGAGATTAAAGTGCTCTGAGAAGTGCAAGGTGCTCTACAGATGTAAAGTTTTATTGCTGACATGTGCATCGTAGGTGATGAATTATTATTCCTCATTACCCTCTCCTTGGAGTCACGCCTGCATGTCCATGTGTTCCTGTCTGTGCAGGTAAGAGGTAGGAAACGATGGAAGGCCGTGCAAAACTGCTGACTGCTAGATGTTTCCCAAGAGAAGGAAATGTTGTAATGATTAGTATAAGTAGCTTCTGCGCTCACCTTCCTCTGGACATTGCTGGGCAGAGACATTACTCCTCCCCAACAACTGCGGTGCTTCCTTTCCAGGTAGCCTCTGAGCTGAAGGGCTTATATTTGGAACAAAAGAAGGAAAACCAACTGCAATAAACAAAAAGAGGTACGAATTAAAGTTTGTAGGCTCTATGGAGACTGTTAGAGATGATTTGTGACAGGAAGGGGTGTAGGTGACGTGCTGTGATGTAGTGTGTGGGGGGTGGAGAAAAGGGGGGAAGGGAGGCAAACGGGGGAGATGGAGAGAAAGATGGAAAGAAGGAGGGGGGCGTTAACGAGCCATGTAGAACCAAGGGACGGGTTAGGGCTGGCTTTCCTCCGTTGGCCCGGGAAATCAGTTCACTGTGGGGAGCACTGATCTATTAGTGGTCCATGGATGGAAGAGACCGGCTCGTCCAGCCTGATCTGGCGAGGCTGTTTCTGAACTGGAGAAAGGATACTTAACAGAAGTTAAGCTAATGACACTGCCTGCTGGGTTTTGTTTGATTTTACTTTGAGAAAAGACAAGCTGGGAAGAAAAAAAAAAAAAAGGAATTGCAGAAAAATGGAAAGGAGGAAAAGTAGAATAGTGAAAGGAAAGAAGAAAAGAAGGGAGGAGAGAGAGAGGGTAGAAAAAAAGAAGGAAAGATGGAGAAATAAAATATATATACATATATATATATTTACATATATATATCTACACACTCATATATAGGGACATATATATCCACCTATATATATATATATATATGCCTATATTAAAAACTAAAAATGATAATGAAATAGAAAAAAACAAAAACAACCAAAACAAGCAACCAAAAATAACCCCAAAACACCCAAGAAAACCAAAACAACAAAAAACATGCCAAAAAAAAAGAAAACAAAAAAACCAGTGCCAGTCTTGGCTAAAGTCCACCAAGCTCTCTCCAGGTTGTCCTCTGCTGTACAAAAATTTCTCTGTGTCTTGTTGGGGCAGAGCCGGCCCCCTGGAGCCTAGAGTGACCCAGGCAATGCAGGTCTGTTGTAGATGAGTGGGGTTATGAGGTGTGATTGGTAATTTTTTCAAAGTCAATGCCATTTCTGCTCTTGCCTGCCCCAAGGCACGCTGAGTGCTACACAGCCAGAAGGCTCCATGTGTGTCTTGGGGCACTCTTTCCTCTGGAGGCTGTGGGGGGTGTGAGTGACTGCTAAAAGCCACCTGCGGGGGGGGGGGCCTGTGAGTGACTCAGCAGCTGAAGTTGCCCTGCCTCCCAAGCTGCACAGGGGAGGTGGCGGCTGGGTAGGTAGGCTCACACTCTGCAGCCTCTTCTCAGGCGGAGATTCTCAACCTCCTGGGAGTAGGAGCACCTCTGTAGACTTCTCCATTTAGGGGTCAGTTTAAGACTCTGGCATGGTGGGGGGCCAAGGTTTTTGAGGGAGGGTGGGGGTAGGTTCTTATCTATGCAGTTTTTTGCTTTCTGTCCGAGAAAGAGAAAAAAATAAAATGTCCCACCGCTATTTTGAGCTGAGGCTTCTGCCTCAGATGCTCCAACCGAGCTCCTGCTGCGCTCCGGGAAGGACCACAGGGGTGCAGGGCCTGAGCCCACCCTGCCGCTGCAACGTTCTTTGCTCTGCCTCCTGGGGTCCCGCGTCTCCGCAGCTGCGGGCCTGGGCTGCGTCTCCTTATGTCTCGCCTCCCTCTTCCCCAGCTCGCCCCGTCTGCCCACCTTCCAGTAATCGGCGTGTGAGTCTCTTAGCTGCTCCGTGTGACGAGTACACGTTCTTTGGATGAGTTACAGCAGTTCAAATGCTGGCAATTTCCAAGGGAGAACTCAAGGAGCCCTCCTCACCGCCGCCATTCTCCCCTCTCCCCTGTTTTTTTTTTTTTAATTTTCAGTATGTCACAGACTAAGACTTTTATAAATTTAAAATAAAAACAAGTTATTAGAAACATAAAATAAAAACCCAGGTATATACAAATACAAGGTCCACTTTTAAATTAGCTAGGATCACTGGACATAGACTTGGTCTGTCAAGTTGCAGTAAAAGCTTTTACACACTTGCTTCCTTGGGAACTGGCAACCACAGCTTCCTGATCTCTCGGGTCATTCAGGGTGGCAGACAGGCGAGGACGCTGCCCTACTGGTGGGGAGGGTCTGCCTAGCAAAGAGCAGAGCTCTCAGCCAGAAATTCATGGATGTGATTAAAAGAAGAAGTAGACTTCTAAAAGAAAAATATCGGTTGTCGGAAAAGTCATGAGGTATTTTTGTATGTTTTTCATTGCAAACATGCGTCATGACTTTTTCGGCTACCTAATACTTATGTATTTTTTTCTTTACTAAAATCTAAATGAAATTGAGCATGCCTCTTAAGTATAAAGTTAGGCCACATACTACAGTGGTGTTAGCAGTTGCTGAAGACTTTGGTTCCGGGAGGTCACAGTTACTCTTATGTTATAGTTGGAAGATAATCTTGAGATACTGTTTGCACTACGTTGAACTTGCAGTAGCTATTAACACCTGCTGCTAGGTGTGTTGAATACCCCATCGAGGAAGTACACACATTACTATGTTGCAATGAAAATATATTCTAGTAACTGTAATTCTATTAAATGTCAATAGGTTCCTGGGAGATTAGTGGTCACTGAGAGAAGGCTGTTCTGGGACAGCCAGGCACATAGAGTAGCCTCGTTGCTGAATAAACACTCAGTGCCCAGAAGGGTTTGAGGGTGTCAGCTTGCTCCTAGCTCTTACAGATGATCTTCTCAGGGGAAGACTACGCTTACTAATTAACTAGCAAGTCTGATCCTGAGAATGAAAGCTGGGCAGTCATTTGCATTGGAGATCCATTAACGTGAACACAGTGGCCAGCTTCCAGGGCTGAGGGTGCTTTCTGTGGACTGTGCCCCTCTGCCTTGATTGCTGGGTCGTCCGTCAGAGAGAGCAGGAGCTGCAGTGGGAGGATGAGGTATGTCCGCAAACTTGCGCTCACTGTGGCTGTAGATGTGTGTGTGCAAGCGTGTGTGGGCTCGCATTGATCTCCTTTAGTTAAAATGCCCTTGTTAATTTGTTAAACAGAGATGAAGATAAATAACAAATCGCAAAATTATACACACATACACATAAAACAAAATTCAACTCGTTTATTTATTTTCGTGGTGTGTGTGTGTGCCTCTGGACCAAGGCTAGATCTGTAAGTCCTATTGTAGTTAAACTTGTGTGCTTGTGTGTGTGTTTGTGTGTGTGGTATTATAAATGATTTCATATTCGGGGCGAGGGAGCTGGCAGAAATTCTTTCTAATTCGGGAGATGAGGTGTGGGAAGTGAGAGGAAGGTGTTCAAATATAGGCGTTAGATTAGAGCATTTGGGGATGTCCCTTCTATAAGGATGTAGAGTTGTGATTGAGGAGTGGTAATTAGAGACTATCGTAGTCAGGAAATTGAGAAACCAATTACTATCCCTGTGAGTTTTGTGCCTTTAGTGACCAAATAAAGAATTCCTAGAGGGTGTGTGAGTGAAGTGTTGGGATGTGTGCACGTGCTGGTGTGCAGTGGGCAGTGGGCGTGAGAGATTTCTTGTGGCGTCTGGACGGAGGGTGTGAGGCGAAAGGGACAGTGTCTGGACCAGCCATCCTGTGTGAAATAGAATGGCCGTGCCAAGGGGAAGAGGGGAAGGTGATGGATTGTTGCTGACCCCGCTCTGGTAAAACTTGAAATAAAAAAGGGTTGGGCCCTCACGTGTTGTTAGAGCCTAGCTAGACACATGTGGGCATTTCTGACTGGCCAGTGAGGGGAAAAGGAAAAGCTACTGTTGGGGAAAGGGAGGGAGGCCAAGATCAATGCCATGGGTCTCACTAGAGTGGCCCACCTACCAGTGGGCTCCGGATTTAGGGTCTGAACGAAAGGGGCCTCTCGGTCTCCAAACTGTGGGTTGCTCTGGTGTCACGTGTCAGTGGGTGTGTGTGTGGTGGGAGGGAGGGAGTGAGAGGGAGTGTTGTGCTGGGTCGGGTCAAAGTGCCATCCAGGACTGAACGAAGAGGAAGGACACTCTATCCCGTTCTCCACTTTTAAGATAGCTCACCATTGTTCCACTCGCTTACGCAAGAGGTCAGTGATGTTTTATTGGCATTCCCTCACAAATGAGTTTCAGTGAGCTAATAAGGTTACTTTACAAACTGCCCCATAAGCGTGGACTGTTAATGCGTATATGGACTTAGAGGAATAGAATTTTCACGTAAAATTGGTTCAGCCGGTAGCTGCCGCATAGGATGAGGAAGATAAGCCTTTGCACATCCCAGAGCTGGGGGCGCAGTAGGTGGTAGCTGTCTTCTAGAGATGATTCTCTTTGTGGTTCAGATGGAGAAACTGAGCCTCAGATGGCTTAAGCAGTTTTCCCGAGGTCACACAGCTGAATAGGATCAGAGCTGGCTTTTAGATCTCTGCGCTTTGGATGTGACCAGACTTGCAAAGAAAAGGCCATTGGCTCCTTTTTTCCCCTTCCTGTCCTCTCAGTCGCTGGGAGACAATGGACCACGCCAGTAAATTTTGCCCAGGACTTCTGAGGAATATCTGGGACTCGCTCGGGTTTTCTTTGCAAGCTATTCTCAGTCTCTATAAAACCGACCCTCTTTTTCCCACTAGATTGCTTGTCTTGTGTTATCAGAGGATTTTAAAAGAAAGGCTTAGCTCGCCATTTGCAAATCAGATAGTGGCTGTGATTCCGAAAGATGACAGTTGATTATCCAATTTTTCCAAATGAATTTAGATGGCCATTTCAAGGATTGGGGTTCCCATCTGGTTTATCAACTTGCCTAAATAATTATACCAGCACCAGGAAAACGAGCCTTGGCAATGATTTATATAACCATTTTAATTCAAGAGGGAAAAAAAATCACTGTTGGAATCTACACAATTTATGTACAGTAATAATTTGCACCTTTTCAGTGAGATTTTCCCTGACCAGCTTAATTAAAATCGCAGCCCTCATCCACATAGTCCTCACTCCCACCCTCACTTTATTTTTCTCTGTAGCCCTTATCACAGTCTAACTTATTGTACATTTATTTTGTTTATCGTCCCTTTTTTCTACACACAAGAACGTAAGTCCCATGAGGGCAAGAATTTTTAATGTTTTGTTTTCTGTATAACT